GCCTCGGTTTAGCTTGTCCCTCCGCCACGTTTCTTTACACGCATCTGCATACATATTTGCATGCCCGTCAGAGGCAGATGTCATGTGGCTAGTTTAGGGATAAAATAATGTCGTCCTCTGCAAACAGAGGACATTAAAAATATCACTTCCTTATTCTAAAGGTTTCAAAATTTGACAACTTATATTTTTTTGATAACTTATATTTCTCGTGAACGAAAAGATCTTTCGTCAACGAATCTTTCTATTCCATTTTTTTTGCAGAGAGAGTGGCGCAAGTACCCTTTTGTTGTTGGGGGCGGACGGGCTATAGATGGAGTGAATCAGCGGTCTATAGGTTTCTTATAAAGCATTTTGCATTAAATGTTAATTACGAGTAGCTTTTATGTGTTAATTTAGAGTTATCTACCGCGTACACATGTGAAATATTGAATAGTTTTCGTTTTTGTTCAACTGAAAATTTGTTGCACTATAAATCCAAGCGAATCACTCAAAACGTTTATATGAAAATAATTGTTAAGACTAATTTACTTTTTACAGTGATCCTCCATACAACTCAACCTAGATTTAGAAACCTATAGCGAGTCAACATGAAACATGAAATTTGTTGTTTATAAATGTGCAACTGCTGGATCATTAAATATTCGTCAAACAGATTTAGTACTAAACATATTACCACCGTGCATAACTAAAAAACTATGCGTCCTAGACTCTTAAAAAGAATACAAATCTTGGGTGTATCCTATTTTTTAATTAAATTAGAAAAAACTGCAAGTCTGTCTCATTGGTTTCTTGGAAGAGGGTGGATCCTTAAGACACCCACCCGTCACCGCAGCCGCCACTGAATGTAGATAACATTTCTATTATTATTGTCTTAGCTAAATTATTTTAGCTAAGTTTATAATAAATATTTATAAAAAAATCAGTTTAGGTAAAAAGGCAGAAAAGAGACATTTACTGTTCGTAAGCGAAACGAAATACCAAGTCTTCTTAGTGCTGCGAATATATCCAAGTCTGGTATAATACTTTCCCAGGCGATAATACTTGGCTGTATGCTTTGTCTTGCGCTCGATTCAAAGAGAGCCTTTGCTACAGCGCGGTGCGATTGTTACCACAGCAGTCTATATCCCCGGCCTCTATTACCTCTGCCCTCACACACTATTAAGCCGGCTGTA